GCTGCTGCAGCTAGGGCAGCAGCAGCTATGTGGCAGTTCTTTTGGCTCTTCCCCTTTGCAGCAAAGCCGAGGGTTTATGACACTTTTTTCTCAACAACATGCACTTCATGTATGCCCAACTAAAACCCTAAACCCTAGGGGCCCCTGCAACCACCAAAAGAGGGGCCCCCCTAACTTGAAGCAGCAAACAGGTACATGTCTTTGCTTTTGGGGGCCCCCCTTAAGCTGCACTGGTTTCAGGGGCCCCCCTTGCTGCAGTCTGGGGGCCCCTGGGGGCACCCCTTGCTGCAGTCTGGGGGCCCATGGGCCCCCCCTACAGGGTACTGGGGGCCCCTGGGGGTCCCCCGGAACAGCGGCAAGGGGCCCCTTTGGACCCTTAATTGCTATTAAAGGCTCTTGAGGGGCCCCTTTGCATAATTTTAAAGTGCCACTAGTAACAGGGGGCCCCTCGGGGCCCCCTAGGGGGGCCCCCCTAGGGGCCCTCTAGGGTAGCCCTTAGGGGCCCCGTGGGGGGACCGTAGGGGTCCTTTTTGCTGCGAGGGGCCCCCGAGGGGGGCCCCTATATTACTGAGGCCCCCTAGGGCCCCCCCCTTTGCCTGCAGGTGGGGGCCCCTGGGGGGCCCCTATTAAATGTGGGGCCCCTTTAGTACCTAGGGGCCGCAGGGGGCCCCTAGCAAACGGAGGGCCCCTCTGCTATTTGGGGGGCCCCCGGGGGCCCCTATTCATGACTTGAGCAGCAGCAAATGAAGGAAAAAGTAGAATTAGGGTTTGGTGCTTCCTTCCGAAGACACCCTGTCTTGATCTGTGTAAACCCTAAACCCTAAACCCTAAGAGCTGCCTCCAGTTTCGCTTGACATTAAGCGCGGACAGAAAAACCGCGCGGACGCGCCTCTGATCGCTAAAACCCTAAACCCTAAACCCTCGTTAGACTTGTTCCATAAGCAAATGGAGGTGAACTCGCAGCAGCGAGAGGACAAAGCAAGACACTGAAAGCAGCAGCTAGCTCGAACGTAATTAAATTATATTTTTTAATTTTAAATTTAATTTTGAATTTAATAAAAAGAAATGCAAATAAGAAAGCACTGGGTGGCTGGCACTGCCACGGGGGGTGGGGTGCTGCCTGTGTCTTGTGCGCAGCAACCCCCCCCTAAAACGCCCTCATTTCGCGCCTGTTTTGGCGCCAAATACCTCAAAATTATCCAAAATTGATCGTTTAATTGAATTTCTCGCCTCAAAAGGTTCCAAGTACCTCCAGAATTGACGAAAATTGAGCAAAACAGCCCCCCGGTAGAAAACGTGATGACTGGGTGGCGGGGGGCCCGCCACCGGCCGCCAGCAGCAGCATGCAGCCGCAGCAGGGGGCCCCATTGGGTTAGCGTTTTATATCTTGTTTTGTTATTTATCTTTTTAAAAAACTAAGAGTTTGCACCGGCCAGACCCGCCCCGTCGGCAGCGCCAGCAGCACCACCAGCAGCAGCAGCAGCGGCGCCGGCTCCGCCAGCCGAAGGCAGGTGTACGTACACCTCAAGTGTACACGCATCCCCACGTGCTTTTTTGATAAAATTTTTGCAGCGGCGGAGACTGGGTCTCACAGGTGGCCCCTGCAGCAGCAGCAGCAGCAGCAGTAGCAAGCACGGAGAGCAAGTTGTAGCAGCTGCACAGCAGCAGCAGCAATAGCGCAATGGGTTTGAAGCTCGAGGAAGAGAAGGAGAACTCCAACTGCAGCAACGGCAATAACAGCAGCAGCAGCAGCAGCCCCGAAGCCGCAGGTTTGAGCAGTCCTAAACAGGCAGCAGTAGCAGCTGCAGCAGCAGCAGCGACTCCAGCTGCTGCAGCAGTCGGAAGCGGCCGTAGAAAGAGCCTGCGCTGCGTGCGGCTGACCGCCGCTTCAGCAGCAGCAGCAGCTGCTGCTGCTGCACCCGCAGCAGCAGCTGCTGCAGCACCTGCCGTTGCAGATACACCCCAGAAGGGAAGAGTGAGGAAGCAAAGCAGCAGCTGCAGCAGCGCCACAAGCAGCACCAGCAGCATAGAAGCCTGCAGCAGCAGCTGCAGCAAACGCCGGAGATGCACGCGCAACCGCAGCAGCAGCAGCAACAGCAGCAGCGCAGCTGCAACCCGCAGCCAGCGGGGCCGGCGAGCAGCAGCAGCAGCAGCAGCAGCAGCAGGCACAGCAGCAGACATGGCAGCAACTGGCACAGCAGCAGCAGCAACAGCTGATCCAGCCAGCGAAAACCAGCAAACGGACAGGCTGAAAAGTGATGCAGACAGCAGCAGCAGCAGCTGCTGCAGAAGCAGCAGCAGCAGCAGAAGTAGCGGCGGCAGCTGCTGCGGCAGTGATGGCACTTCGAGCTGCAGCAGCAGCAGCAGCAGCAATGCTGCTGGCCCCGGTACAGAGACTTGCAGCGGAGCCCCTCTTGGCGTAGAGAGCAGCAGCAGCAGCAGCAGCAAGGAGAATGGCAGCAGCAGCAGCAGCAGCAAAGAGACTGGCAGAAGCAGCAAGGAGAATGACAGCAGCAGCAACAACAAAGATGGTGAAAGCAGCAGCAGCGGCAAGGAGAATCACAGCAGCAGCAGCAAGGAGAATGGCAGCAGCAGCAGTAAGAACAGCAGCAGCAGCAGCAGCAGCGCAGGGTGTGGGTCGTCTCTGCCTTGCGATTTGTCTCCTTCTTGCTTCGCCCCTTTTGACTTCTCTCCCCCGTTGCTGCTGAAGCAGCAGCAGCAGCGCTGCTGCCGCCGCAGCAGCAGCCAGCAGCAGGGCAGCAGCAGCTGCTGCTGCGGGCAGCAGCAGCAGCAGCAGCAGCAGGGGTGGTCGCCGTGGCCGTCGCCGCTGTTCCAGCGGCCGCGCCCCAGCTACAACTGCAGCCGCCGCAGCAGCAGCAGCAGCTTGTTTGCTGCTGGTTTTTCTTTTGCTGCTGCTCAAATGCCTCCAACAGATTTATATTTATCTTCTTCTCCTGGAGTTGCTTCCTTGGACCGCAGCAGCAGCCAGCTTTCCTGCTGCAGCACCTTGTCGCTGGCCATAGCGCGCCCCGTGGCCCCGCAGCAGCAGCAGCAGCAGCAGCAGC